TATTATCTGGGTTAAACATCTGGTGCACCTTTTTACTCCCGCAGTGCGTTTAGTTTTTTTTTTTTGGAGCTCGATAGCTTTTGTGTTTTCGTGTTCAGAGGCTCTTTTGAGAATATCACTGGGTGCCTCTTACTGGAGCTTAAACTGTGCTGCTGACCTCACGCTTCTGGACCCTCACTGCGCGGGGTCAGAGGCCAAGCTAGCCACATCGATTTCCCCTTATGAAGAAGTCTTTAGTCCTACAGCACTTCTCCTAAGGCCCCCCTCACACTCTCCTATCTGCACAGAGCTGCCCGGAGAGCCAACTGTGCCGTGCTGGGATCGATCCAGCGAGTGTCCGAGGGGCCTCTTGGTTAAGCGGCTCTCTCTCAGATAACTGACAACTACAAAGCTCTCCTCTTGACAGGCGCTTGTCAATACAAATTTCCACTATTGATAAGTAATTACAGAAAGGCAGAGCATTCTGCTCCTCACTCCAACATCTGTTAAACAGGACCTGTAAACAAAACCTCTCAAAAGGCTAAATGAACCCCCTCTGTCCTTCTCTAGAGCCCCCCTGTAGTTTTAAACCAATCCAAATCATATTAAAACGCTTTCAGTTAGCTGCAGCTTTAAAAACTCCATTGAGATAAAAGGTCCAATTCTGCGTACTTTAGTACAAAAGAGCAAAAGTTTCCTCATACTCCAAATTGAGTAATACTAGAACCTCAAAGACTCAATAAAATTGTTGTACAAACTTGATTGCTTTAAATTCCTGGGCTATTTTTCTTTTTACATTTCACACAGTTTAATATTTATCATGGGTTATGTTATTGGAGTTGTTACTGGAGTTATATTAATGACATATCACACTGTACATTCATAAATCCCAGGTTTGCATTCTTATGTGCATATTTGTCAGTATCATTGATTGGACGAACACAGCGAGTGACTTGTCTTGCATCATATAAATAGTATGTGCCATCCAGTTTGTCTTGAGTAAGCTTTTGGACCATAACTGTAATAATAAAATGATGTCGTCTTCATTTAAATTAACGTGTTTTCCATCACTTCCGTGTAACGTTGAACATAATTTGTGAATGTTTGTGCAGACCTCATGAATATTTAATGAGGCAAGCACTGTTCAGTTTTGCTGAACAACTAACTGCCTGTTACGTCCTAAAAGGGTCGTTCACACAGAATGCGTTTTTTTTTCCACTGCACTGATTTTCCTAACATGTTTGTTTTTCTAATATGTAAACATGCACTAGACCAGGGGTGGCGAACTCCGGTCCTGGAGAGCCGCAGCCCTGCAGAGTTCAGCTCCAACCCTAATTAAAACTCACCTGCCTGTAGCTTCCTAGTAACTGTTCAGACCTTGATTAGCTTGTTCAGGTGTGTTTGATTAGGGTTGAAGCAAAACTCTGCAGGGCTGCGCTCTCCAGGACCGACGTTCGCCACCCCTGTACTAGACGGACATGTTTGATGTGTTTGTCTTTTGCAGCATCTTGCACATGACAGACTGATATAAAAAAATGAGTTAAGTTAAGCTCAGCTTGAGACCTTAACTTTTTCATTAAAATGTTTCGCTTTTAAAAAACATGACTTAAGACCTTTTTAAACACAAAAATGTGTTTTGTGTTGAAAACTTCGAGATGTGAAAGAAAACGTAAGGTCTAGAAACCCTTTATGTTGAACTTATTTTAACTTAAATTTTACTCCTGTTTTAAAAAACATTAGACGCAGGGTAATGGAACGGAGAAAAAGGGCTTTTTAATAGTTAAACAAACGTTTTTAGAATGCTTAGTTCGTCAGACACGTCCATCTAGTGCATGTTTATATAGAAAAACAATGGAAAAATCAGTGCAGTGGAGTTTAAAAATGCATTCTGTGAGAACAGCCCCTAACACTGCATCCTTTCACCTTCAGTATTGTGATGTGGCTTTAACCCTTTAAATAAGGTGCTAACCCTTTTCAAAAGTGTGAAATTGTTCTCTAAGTGGGTTAAAAGCGGGACCCAAGAATAAAGAGTTAAATATGAAAGGCCCATTTCTGTTCTAGATATGTGTTCCTAAATACCCGTTCTTTCTTTCTGAAAAGCTTTTTCAAAATCTGAAGCTATTTTATGGGTTTGAAATTCTGTAATGAGTTTACTCTAGTTTGGCCTGCGTTTTAAATGCTGCTAATCTGTGTCTTTGTAAGTGGATCCACTGGCACACATCCTCTAAACCCCTTAAACTCTACAGACAGGGCCTAAACCTCCAAAGCTCGACTATAGCTGGCCACTAAGACAAATTAATGGGTTTGCATCCAATTACACCTATGTAAATAAACATCTGAATGAGAAAATTCCAGATGCATCCACCACTTTGTGGTCTCTTTAAAGCCGTTGAGTGGGTCGGGGTAAAGCCGAAACGCAATTTTAGTGGGCTGGAGATGAAAACGCAGCTCTCATTACGGACTGAGCCGGAGTTATTAGGTGGGGATGGTGTGTGTTTGGGGTTTGGAGGGGGCACTGCTCCGGGGCGGTGGTTTTCGGGGAGGGGGTCACACACAACCAGCGTCTTTGTGTGGCTCTAATCCTCCCAGCCAACACAGCTTTGGCCAGGTTTCATCATGAAAGTGCCATGAAATAACTACTTTTTTTTCTTAGCAGCAAATCTCCACTAATCCTGCAGGCTGAAGAGACAAAGGCTTCTGGGCTCTGAGCTCCAAGCTTTTAATGGGGTTCAGAGGCTGCTCAGCTAAGGTTCTTCTAAATGACTTATTTTGAGCGGACACTAATACAGCTTGACAGGCAAGAACATCGCAAAGGGAGAAAAAAGCAGAGCCTTGAAACACAGAGAAAAAGTTCAGCACAATTCCATGATGGTTTGAAAGGTCAGTCAGGTGTAAAAATATCAGAAGTGTGGAAAGTGTTGGTCTAGATGGGCTGTTGCCATTTAAAGCCAAAAAAAACTTCCAATGATGTAAAGCATAAAATCTCCAAGCTTTAAAGACATCCAACAACTGGCTTTCTTCCACCAACAAATATTTATTTGTAACATTTTTGGGCTCCAATCTGCAAATCTTTTCACTCTTTTTTTTTAGACTGGTGCACAAATTGGAATCATTTGGATAGGAGGTATAAAATGTACCGAGATACATATTTATAGTTGTACATTAAATTCAGCAGTTGTTTGACACTGTTGGTTGTTTGTAGGTGTTTTATAGATTGACTGTATTACATTTTTATTAGCGGTTTTAAATTATTACAGGAGACCGATTTCACTTGTTATTAAGACAAACACAATATAAATTCAAATATGTTTTCTTAAATATTCAAAATAAATTCATACACTGTATGTTTAAACAATTTGGGGTTGGTAAGATTTTAATGTCTCTTATGCTCATCAAGGCTGCATTTATTTAATCAGAAAACAGCAAAAACAGTAATGTTGTGATATGTTAATACAATATTTATTAATATTTGTGCTGCTTATATTAATATTTATAGTAGGAATAATATTTTTGTGGAAATCATGATGTTTTAATGGATTTGAACCGAAACAAACAAAAAAAAAGCATTTATTTGAAAATAAAATGTAACCTGTCTTTATCAATTTAATGTGTCCTTAACACATTTTAAAAAATCTTAATGCAATTTTAGTTACCGTGAAACATATTAAACAGACAAACAGAACTAAAGGAATAATCAATGTATTCATCAAGTAGCACATAGCTGCACTTGCATTTCACTAACATTTCCATAATAATCCAGATAGTGAAAGACTTGTGAAAAGATATAAAGAGATCTCATTGTGTACATCTGCTTTTCTAATAAAGCCCGGAATTCCATGACTGTCTGAATACAAACAAACAAACCTTTCCAGCAGGAAAGTGAGCCAAATGTGAGGTGAAGGCTGTGTTTGTGTGCCAGTCTCATGCCAGTGTAGCCCAGCTCCTGCCTGCCTGCCGTCTTGGTTCCTGTGTTGCCCTCTGGGACACACACACACACACACACACACCGAGGAGTGTGCAACTGCCCTGATACTCGTGGGAAACATAATTTAGCTCTCCACATGCCTCGCCTTCCTGGCCCTGAGCTGCACAGTGTCAGGATTTAGCAGAATTTACATCTCTGAACCTCCTGAGCCCGCTCCCAGCCGCTCGGCTGCAGTTTACTGAGGTTTCAGCTGGAGCTAAACTGCTGCTTGAGCTCAATGAGAGAGGGTGTTGAGAGACGGATGATGGGATAATGACAAGGAGTGACATTCGGTTTGCTTCATAACTGTCTCATTGCGTAATTACAACCAGTTTTGACACCACCGGCTGCAAATTGCTTTGTTTATCCCACTTTATTGAGTATTTTTATTTATTTTCAAATGCTAATAGCTCAAATCCATCTTTTTTTGGAGAGGATTTGATCAGAAGGAAAGATTTCTGGTACATTTATCCCTAAGAAATTAGCCTAATAGGCCACTTCCAGAGTGTATTCTCAAGTTGACATTTTCTGGGCAAAATATGGGTCCAGTTAGCAAAACAAACCAGCCAAGCAAACACCCCCCCTTGGAGTTAATACTAACAAAAGCTGGGGAACAGGGGAGAAAGAAGGACGAGAACAACGGACAATCAAAGGCTGTTATTTTAATCTGCTCAACCCCAGAGATTAGCCGACCACATTGTTTTAATTGTTTTAAGGGGGGGGGGCGCAATGCCCGCTCATTGAAGGGAGATGCTTTGCCTAAATCTCCCAAGTTCAATAGTTTCAAAAACTTGAGCCCCCAAACCCCCCTTTCTCTCCCTCATCCCACTTAATCCAGGCTAATACCTTTCTTTCTATTGGCTAATGGTTGAAGGAAGCTGAAGTTAATGCCTCTTAAATAGTGGAAACTGAGGACCTAAACCACAGTCAACTTGGAGCATTACTGGTCTGCCTTACCTCGAAACCTTATTGTAATATTTTGGAGGATTTTAGCAGCTTTTGTGAAATGTTTCCTTTGGGATTTTAGTATCACATGAGAGAATACAAAGCAATAGTTACGCATACTTTACCTCATTTTTCTGGGTAAATGTCAGCTTTTTGCAACTGATCATCATTCCACAGGTCATTGGAGTTCGTAAGTAAGTGTTCATTATGTTTTTTTTTATTATTATTTATAGATTTTTTTAAGCCATACTTATATATTTTATCTTCTCAGCCAGCAGAATGAATTCTGTTTATTTCTGTGGACCGAGAAACGGCCAGGGGCCTTTTCCATTGCAACGCGTCAACTCGTTATTTCACGAGGCTCACCAGCAGATGGCGCAGCAGTATCAGCTTCATCCAGAGGCCAGTCCGGCGTCCATACAGACTTTCACTGTCGCCGAGCGCCTGGCAGGTGAGTTGCGCTTGACATTTAATGAGGCTCAAAATATGAGTTAAGTAGAGAGTAAGTTATTTCACTTCATTCAAGTTTCTCACTTTACGTTAGGCAGCATTTATAAAATTGTAACTTCTGATTTCTTACTTTACGTTAGGGTTTATATTATATGCTATACCTGTAGGTTTTGAATACTTGAAAATGATGTAGGCAACAAATGTCTATTAAGTTCATTAGCCTATTCACGAATGAATTAGAATTAAGTTTCAATATCAAAAACAATAAAAGTGTTTTTTATATATATATATATAAATGAAGAGTTCAGATGCAAAAGCCTCTAAGTGCATTTTAAATTTTGTTCTAAAATGAGCATTGTTTTTTTATCAGGCTCCATATGTAGGTTCAGTAATTTCACTTTAATGGCAAAGAATCGGTTCTTTTCATTGCCAGCAATGTGAAATAACTGAACATAAACATAGAAGCCTGAGAAAATTGCAAATTTTAGAAGAAAATTCCAGATGGCGTTTAGAGGCTTTTGCATCTGAACACTTAAGATATGCTTTTTTTTTTTTTACTTTTGTGAATCATTTTATTTTAAAATATACGGTGGGCACACCTTTGAAAGGGCTTTTAATTTGCATAATACAGTTTAAAATGTAATTTTACACCAATATCATACATTTATTTACTTAATAAAAAAAACAAATAGTGTACAAACGTTGACCTAAAAATAGTGCACCAAAAAAGTTAAATCATAATGCTTAGAAATGGTAAAACTCTGTTTATTTCCAAATTTTCACTCCATGTTTTTTGGCACTTTTGAGTCCTATGTAGCTTGTGTTACATGCACAATGTAATGTTAAGCATCATGCAGTGTTAATTTACTATCACTTAGATACTGTTATAGTTTTCACTAACTTTCGTTTTATTGATATTTTATTTATAATGTTTTTATTATTATTGATGTTTGTAATTATATATTTTTTCAGTTTTTATTTTTATATTTTTCATTTTAATTTTAGTTAAACTTAGCAATTTTCATTGTGTTTTTGTCATTTTTAGTTTTGTAAAATGTTTATATAGTTTTTTATTCTTCTTATTTCAGTTTTATTTTGTTATTTTAGTACATCAAGTTAAATGGAATTAAAATGAGACATGCTGAAATTATGTTGAAACTAGCTGAAAAAAACTTTTATTTCAGTTTTTTAATTGTTTTAATTTTAGTTTCAGTTCTAGTTTTAATTAACTATATTAACTCTGGTATCCTGAATTAAGCAAGTAATAAATATCTCCTTCGTTTAGAACTCATCCTTGAGGCACGCTACGGGAACCAGCAAAAGCAGCGTCGCAGTCGCACCGCCTTCAGTGTGTCCCAGTTACAAGCGCTCGAAAAGGCTTTTCAGCAAACCCAGTATCCAGATGTGGGCATGAGAGAGAGACTAGCAGTCTGCATCAACCTCCCAGAAGCCCGTATACAGGTGAGGGCCACATTAACATCTGCAGTGTCCAACAAGCAAAATACTTCTAAATATTAGAATACATTTAGAACTTAAAAGTGCTTCTGAAAACATCTTTGATTAACAAAACATGTTTCCTCAGGTGTGGTTCAAAAACAGACGTGCCAAATTTAGAAAAGGTCAACGCTTCGCACCCCTTTCCAAAGAAGAAAGCCAAGTGCATCGTCCTGCTACTAAACAACGGAAAGAATTGGTGAAGGACCAGGAGAAAGGCTCTAATTCAAAATCTCAATCCCCTTTTAAGGAAAACAACACCATTCCTTCCTCATCGGACTCTATTCACCTTCATTCCCACCCCAGACTGCACTCCTCTGCTGTTCTTCCATTCGTTACTGGAGAACACTACCAACAACCATTGCCTCATGCACTTGGGCTGCTGTCTGCAGGCCTGCCTTTCTCTCCTACATATTTGCCTATAATGCAACAGCAGCACAGCACAGCCGTCAATCTCGTGCCATTGGGGAAATGCAACATGCATCTCATGCTTCAGTCTGCCTGTCAATCTAAATCTTTGGTTCACCACCACTAGGACATGTAGCCGTACCACCAACCAATAAAACCCACTGAGCCAATTGTCCTCATTAGGATGTGAAGAGGGAACAGGTCTTCCTGTGTTCCTCCCCCCACCACAACATCGTAACTTTTACCCTCCGAATAACAGAAGGGTTTGGATTTTGATCTTTTTCTGTAACTTTCATTAATTGGTTTTGATCGTATTTGGACAAACTGTTTTTTTGTGAACTTCCATGCATAGCTTAGACAGAGCATTATTGAGAAAAATGTTGTGTTGCACATACATATTTGAGCACTTTGTTGATTTTTATGAACATATGATAATTTTGAATACAAATAAACATGAGAAACATCTGAATCAGTAGTATTCAGCTTGCATCGTGACTTCTGTGAAACCTAATTCTGGGATTGCACTTAATGTGAACTTAATTTTCATAATTTATGTCACTGCAATAAATAATTTTGCCAAATGTGGAGCGTTCTCAGCAGCATTAACATTTAAGAAGCAAAAGCTTAATTTTATTTATTGTGTGCACTTGTACATTTTCATTTATAGCTAAAATTATGACCATAATTCATTTTTATATGAATGAAAGCCAACCTATCACTGAATATGTTTATGCTTATGAATATGATCATATTTTGATTATGAAAGCGACATGTAAAAGTCATAACTAAGCCAACAATCTGATTTCTATAAATCAGAATAAGACTGCTGACACTAAAAATTTACTAAATTTTAAGACTGAAAAAGAATAAGACTGCTAACACCAAACATTTACTAAAAACACACACCCATTTTTAAACATTAAGCTACTTCATTGTCTACATTTGTATATTTATCTACATTATACAATTTATCATGGTATTCATATTTCCAGTGTGCTATTGTAAGGACATAAATGAGAATTAATAAGTTGAATAATTTCAATAAAGAGAAAGAGTGAGCATTTCTATACTTCTAGTAAAGAAAAAAGGGTAGGCTAAAGTATTTATAGTTTATACAGAATGTTTATTTACATCTTGTAAAACTATATAAAACATCTATATTATATAAATATTTTATAACATTACTATTACTATTTATATATGATTTCAAATATATTTTTATATAACATCTTTTTTTTTCAGAATAAAGATTTACTAAATTGACCTTAATGGGTAAAAGAGATATAGCCTATACTTTGTCTCTCTAACATATATACAAAACCGGTCTGTTTTCCAGTTCAAAAATAAAGTGAGAATTAAAATCTTAAAATATAATTTCCAGTAACTGATATTTTTGACAATGGACTCAACGCAGAAACCTAATCATAGCCTTGTCATCTCCAGATTTTCCATAAAATATTCAAGGTATCATCTAAACATGCTCATCCACATGAGCGTTCAAATTAAACGAATCCTTGTAAATTCTTTCTCAAAAGCTGACTCCAGTATTTCCAGTAAAGAACCCCTCAACTGTTGATCCGGGCAAAACATTTGAGTTCTTCTCCAGGTGGGGACGGTAGGGAGCTTCTGCTGCGCGCACAAGCACAGCCGCATATTCACCAAGCGATCTACGCACTTTTGAGAACGTATCCACAGCAATGGGAGTGTCGGGTGACGCCGGAGCTTTGCTCTCCGAAACGGTAGGCTTAAAGAGACAACAGCGAAGCCGGGCTAGTGTTTAGTGGGAAATTAAATCACCTTTCAGTGCATAAATAAAGGACCATGTCGCGGCGTACTACATAGGGAACTCACACGCAGGTAAAAACATCTTTATGCTTCCTAATTAAAAACATTCCCCTGCTCGTTTTAATCGAAAGACTGAAAGGTTCGCTGCTAAACGGCTAATATGATGTTAGCCTAGTCGGTGGGTTGCTAAGCTAACGTTAGTTCATTTGTGGAGGATTATTGCCATGTTTGTCTAACAAGGCTCGGAGTTGTTTAGCTGGTTTGTCGGTATTTCCTTCCCTTTTCGGATACGATAGGGAATCTATTTAGCTTTAGATGGAAAACAAAATACATTTCGACGTGTAAGTAGTTCATATTTGACGGCTTAGCTAGACAGCTTCTCATTTTAAGGACGTTTTTAAGCGACTGGCTAAGAAGACTGCTCAAAGAAAATAGTCTGAATGCCTTTAAAGACATATTTAATGTTAAAGACCTGTTTAATAATGTATTTTCTTGCTAGGTCAGAGTAGGAAGCTTTCTAGGATTGACACTTCATTATGAAAAAAAAAAACCATTTATGGACGGATGAGATACACTTTCACTGCCAGATCTGATATAAATAGTTTATGTGAAATTTTAGACGTTGGTATGGAAATCTCTTATGTCAAGGGCGTCATCGCCAATTAAACCATCTATGTAATTAAAAAACATTACGTTATTAAGCTCACGGCACGAGTAAGTGAGGTTTAATGTGGCTTAATTTTTGACAGATATTATAAACTATGATTTACATTTCAAAATAGAGTTGGGTCCAATTCTAGTCGGTTATCAGACTAGAAGGGTGTCAGACAGCAAACAAGAGGAGTATTAAACTGTATTTCACAGTTTCACATAGAGGCTAAACAAATTAGTATGGAAAATCACACTGCTTAAGGAAATAAATGACCGGGCAGCTTTCTTTCTCGCTCTTTGTCCAAATCAACACTACACAAGGCCTTATAGAGCAACACAGAAGTAGTTTTATGGCACCAGCTTCTCTCTTTTGCCCATCTGAGAAGTAGAAGCATGTCTTGGTTTTTACACGGCCTCTAACACTTGCATATTTCCTGTTTGAAAGCTAAAACACAAAGTTGAACTGTGCTGTCAACGTTGTTGTGTTGAAACCTAGTTTCTTTTTGCTTCGACAAAAGTCGTAAATGGGTTCTTAGCTGGCTTATCTCATCTTCTTTTAGGCAGAGTGACTCAAAACAGCTGTGAGCACTAACTTGGCATCCCCTATTAGTCAGGCAGTTTTAATTCCAGATTATATGGTATTATGGTCATCATTTTGGCTTTCTGATGTACTTTTGCATCAGGTGTTTTTTATGACGATGTTCTTGTGTTATCTGTGAGATTGATTCCTTAATCTGTTGCATATCTCTAAATATGAAGCCAGATTCAGTCAGTATCTGCAATGTGCATCTTAGTTAAACGTCATTCAAGCATTCAAACGTCATTCATTGATAAGATGTTTCTGATGCAAGTAGTAGCCCCATAATCAGTACTTGTACGCTAGTTCTTGTCCACAGATGTTGTAATTATATCCGATCCCTTTTTGACTGTTGCCTTGTGGCATGGTTTTCCATTTCATCCTTGTATGAGCTTGTAATCAGCATTTTAATGGTAACGTGTGGGGTTGCGACCAACAGACCATAGGAATACATGACTGACTGCCAGTCCTGACGAAACTGTCACTTGCTTTCCTTGAAGTTTTTAATATTTTCAGGCTATAGATTAAGATCAGTATGATGCTTGTTAAATGCCTTATGTAATCCTGTGTTTATTATTCACCTTTGTGTAGCTTCTACAGTGTGCAATTAAGGTTAAGTGTTTGCTTTAATGATTGATTCTTATATTGAGAATTGATGTATGGAAATTCAGTCTCTTTCCTAAAGGGCTGTCCAGCACCCCCTGTAATTGTTATAAAAGCTAAGCCGACATGATTGGTGATGCATTTATTTTGCTGAATGACAGGGCATCATTTTTCATAATTCTTTTTGCACAAGCTAAAGTATTATCATTTCCTCGGACTAGAAAAATGAGCCGTGCATTAATAATCTAATGCATTGAAGCTCTGACGCATTTGTCACTTGCTGAACAAACAGAGCCTTGGATGTTGAAATTAAGTACTGAACCCCCCCCCCCCCAATAAAGTGTCAAAGATGTTTTTCTGCCGAGCTGATTGTATATTGCTCATCAGCTATGGTCTGGTATCCTTTTACAGGCAGTCAGGCTGCCATTGATCGTTTTAAGTGCATTTTCTGAAGGAAAGCGCATCCGTCTTTCCAATAGTTCTTGCATTACCTGCTCCGACTTTCTTTTCCATTTACATTAACAGCAATGCTGACCCTGGATGGGAGAGGGGGAGGTGTGCAACAGAGATCTCTGACCTTCTACACCGCTTCCCCTCTCCATTATCAACCGCACAGGTGTCGTCAAAGTTCCTGTTGGAATTGGAAACTGATACGGGCACTGTTAGGCTTGTAATTCTCATCCGGTCTGTTCTCCACACTTTGAAAAATCTCGTGATTTGGAGGCAGAGCAGCAAAATCTGTTGGTGTAGTGTCATAAATGGGCTCCTATTGCTTAGATTGCCAAAACTGTGACTGCTTGATTCTTTTTTTTTTTTTCTAAAGTAACAACCATTTGTGTCTCTTTATCCATTGAGGATGGATTCCCATCATGTCTAGCATGCAGTGCTTTGTCTCTTGCTATTATTGATTAGGTTTATTAGACCTTGATGTAATCTGAAAATGGATTCCATGAACATTGAGGACCAGGATTGGTGTCTGTGCTTTAGAATATCCCATCATGTCTCTGTCTAACTTCATATGCTGCTTGTAGATTTTTTGTTGTTGTGGAGGACTGTTTAAAAATGCAAAGAAAAGTTCAGAATTCAGAATCTATCACATTAAATTGAAAGATTTGTTTATAGTTCTTGCTTAAATGACGCAAGAAGTGTATTTGAATACATACATACATGCATACATATGAATATGTATGTATGTATATATTCATCCTTTGATCCTGACATGGCAATAAAAAATAATTAATTAACTTAAAAATGCATGGTCATACAGGATTTGTGTCTACTTTAGGGTATCCCATGATTCCTCAGTCCATCATATGTTGCATGTTTATTCATTGGTAGTAGAGGACATGCTTTAAAAATGCATGAAAAACTTTAGAATTTCAAACAAATATTAAACTGTAAGATTTTGGGTAGTTATTGTGTAAATGTTGTAAAAATTAATTGTATATATATTTTTTTTTTTGCCATGAATAAAGCTTTTAATGCTGGTATGGCATATAAAAATGCATTGTCATGCAAATGTAATGTTTAATGAGAGATGTACATAAATATGAAATCTTTCTCTAGTCTGGCTCTATTTGAAGTTTAAGGACTGGTATATCAAGAAGGTG